AAACTGAAGAAAACCGAAGAACAGTAAGGCTTCAAGTCATGGTAATTGTGTTGGAATTAGGCGAGTTCAGATTCAACAACCTGCTTTGCTGGTTATTAATGTGGCTGTTTAGAATCCTCGCCAGGTCTTCAAAGGCAGCTTCCCAACCTCAGCACTCGCTCTTCACTGGTCTCCAGCAGTCTTTTAGTTTGCCCTCTGCCTTGGTGCCAAAAGTCTCCTGAGAAGGGTAAGGCCGAGCTCTGCTTTCAAACAAGTCTGTTCATTGAGTTCCAGAAGCTGCAATCTTTGAGCAAGATTCATTTTCATGGGCTCCACTTTTCTGCGCCCCACCCCCCAGGAATTTCAAAAAGACAAAATCAGTAGGAAAACAAGCATTAGAAGCCAGCTCAGCTTCCCTGGGACTGGCCTGCAGAGAGGGGGACTTTTAAAAATGATCCTGACTTACTCATAGCCACTCATCAAACTTTGACTTCCCATTAGTTTACAGAAAAAAGGAATCAAGAATGTGAATGCTCACTTTAACACAGGTCTGATTCTACACTTTGGTTTGGAAATATTGTTTCATTAGAATGTTAAGGCCGCTATAACAAAATACGGCATTGGAGGAAGACTGTATTTGTTAGTGAACTGTCACTATGACAAAATACCATAGACAATCAACTTAAATCAGAGAAAAGGTTTATTTTGGATCGCTGTTTTAGTGGTTTCAATCCATGGTTCAATCCAAGCAATGTGGTCCATTGCTTTAGGGTCAGTAATGAGGCAGGACATTGTGGTTGGAAGCACATGGCAGAAGAGCTGCTTACCTCATGGTGGCCAAGAAGCAAAAAAAGAGGAGAGGCTAAGATCTCACATTATCCCTTCAAGGTGATGCCCCAGCTCCCTCCTGCCAGGCTATATTTTCTGAGGACTCCACACCTCCCAGTGGAGCCATAAGCTGAGGACCAGGCCTGCAACATATGGGTTTTGGGGGGACATTCAAAATCCCAGTGATGGAAAAGACCATTTGGCCTTTGGGTGGATTTCAAATAATCAAAATGTCAGCTGATTGAGATGTACTCGTTCCTACTGCTCATCTCTGAAGACCATCAGAAGGGAGTGATTGTGGTTTGAATCAAAGTCTTGTGCCTTCCAATGGGGTGTGTGTGTGTGTGTGTGTGTGTCTTCATATGAGTGCACGTGTTTGTGTAAGTAGTCACAGGTGTGTGCACATGCTTGATGAGTCCAGAGGTCAACCCCAGGTGTTCTTCAGATGTCCTCCTCCTTATCTGTTGATACAGGACCTCTCACTGGTCTGGAGCTCACCGAGTAGGCCAGGCTGGTTGGCCAATGTGCCCCAGGCACTGCCTATCTTTCCTTATGAGAGTTGGTATTACAACTGAGCACACCTCCACACCCAGATTTTTTATGTGGGTTCTGGGGCTAGAACTGAGGTCCTCGTGCCTGCATAGCAAGTACTTTTACCAACTGGGTTATCTCTCTAGCCCTCAATGTATTTTTAAATTTTTAAAAATGTATTTATTTTTAATGTATATGAATGTTTTGCCTGCATGTATGTAAGTGCACCATGCCATACAATGCCTATGGAGACCAAAAGAGGGTGTCAGATCCCCTGGAACTGGAATTGCAGATGATTGTTAGCCACCATGTAGGTGCTGGGAACCAAAGTCTGGTCCTCTGCAAGAGCAGTTAGTGCTCTTAACTGATGAGCCATCACTCCAGCCCCTCTTTTTCTCCTTTTTTATTTACCATCATAATAAGATTCCTCAAAATCCAGGTCCTTCCTATTTAACTCCACATTCCCCTGCCTTTGTGAATGTCTCTGCTCCCAGACAGCTGCTGAACATGGTAGTACATGCCTAGTGCAGGCTATGCAGGAGGACTGTGAATTTTAAGTCAGCTTAGGCTATGGAAGGAGTTCCAGCTAAGCATGAGCAATATAGCAGGCCCTTGTCTCAAACAAGTATAATAACACTAAATGAAAACACCTCTCCCCTTACAAATAATCATAAAACTTCTTAGAAATCTTCCATGCGTGGCCCAATGGGCAACAGCCAACACCTTTCTGGACCCTTCACTCCAATCTCAGAATGTAAGCTTTGCCAATTTGCTTTGTTTTGCTAAATAAAGTTCTGTTTAAACTGTGTCTCTGGATTGAATTCTTTCCACTAAGAAGGCAAGAACAGGGGAATCCTTCACCTGCTAACAGTTTGACTGCAGGCTTAAGTCAGGAACCAGGAACTGAGAGGGCACACGTGGGGGTTAGGGGGACATCTCCCAGGTACAAGGCTAGGATGGTAGCCTAAGACCAAAGGGAAAGATCTTGAACACTAGATTTAAAGTATGGACTTTGGGCTGGGATGTAACTCAGTAATAGAGCTTTAACTCATACAACGGCCAAAGCCTGCGGTTTCCTAAGTCTGTACAAGGCTCTTATTGTGATGCCAGACAGGGTCACACACATTTAAAGAGATAAATATGTGAATGAATACACACACACAGGGGAAGCTCTGATATTTTGCATAGACTGACAGATGGTATCTATTGTCTTCTTCCCCTTTTTTCTATACGGAGCAAATCTTTTTCAAGTGAGTAGACATCATTAATTTTATGTTCAGAAAAAGAGAAATCTTTTATTTTTAGAAAGTAAAAGGATTTTCTTTTTTTACAGAATTCCAAATGGCAGCATCTAATTAAGTCGCAGGTCAGTATGCTGAGGGTGACTGTGGAAGTCCCCTTGTAACCCAGGCAACCTGAAGGAGAGGACACTGTGTTCTCCAAGCCAGCCTGAGACACTCGTTGGCTGCTACTTGCATGAGATTAGCTTGAGGAACTGATTGGTCCCGGCACAAACTAAACTGGAGGGCAGTCGGGCCCCTTCCTCTTCTCTGAGCTCAGTAGTATTGATCCTCAGCATCATCTGTTCCTTCACATGCACTAGAAATTCCACACACTTCAATTTTTTATTGAAATATAGCACAAATACAAAAAACATATTTTAATATTATCTCCTGCCATTCTTGGTCTCCTCCAACAAGAGAAACTCCTGTGCTTTCTTCTCAAAGTCTACTTCATTTGCACAGCCATTCTCTCCCCAAACACTTACAGAATGTCCACGTTTTCCTGCATTGCTAAACCAGGGCTGCAAAGATGGGTAAGTGTTCAAGGAAGCTGCAGTCCCTGGGTAAATCAGGCAAAGACCCAAACCAAGATAAGCCAGTGGAGAGGGCCACAGTGGAATTCATGGTGACAGAGGAAGTCAGAGAACAAAGACCAAAGAATGAGAGCCCCGCTGCGGTAGGTAACAGCAGGATCCAGTGAGGTGAGGTCTCTGCCAGATGGGTGACAGAGCAGGAAGGGGGATTGATGCAGTGAGACCAGCATGCTCAAAGGCCCCAAGGAAAGAGAAAGTAGGGCACATGTGGGCTATGGCAAGGAAGCAAGCTGGATGATGGGTACAGCTTCTCTAAGACACTGACGTCACTTTACAGTGTGCACTGGTGCTGTATCAGATGAGCACTCCACCACACGCCGAGTCTTTGTTCCTTTACCATCTCATTTCACAGTCTGCCTCCTTCACCCTTCTGAGTTTGACTTTGTTCCCAACCCCTGTCCAGGCTGTGTCCCATCACAATGTGGTCCCAGAGTGTCTGATATAGAAGGAGGGATCCATGAGCCCACCAGATGCCTGGATATGTGCTAAGCACTGAAACTGGAAGGCAGGACACATACAATTCAGAAAATGCTAGCTGTGGTCATGACAATAGAGATGAGGGTGAAGAGGACTGATGTCGTAGCCTTCTTTTGATTAACAGGTTCAGGTAGGCTACTTCATAAAGTTTATTTTGGTGCATAGCTTTGGAGGTACCAGATCTAATAGCATGGTGCAAGTGATCCCCGGATCCCCATTGCATCATGATGGGAACATGTATACACCTACATATCTATGTGGTCTCTCTCTCTCTCTCTCTCTCTCTCTCTCTCTCTCTCTCTCTCTCTCATAGATCTGACAGGATTTAATCATCAATGGCAAATTCTAATGTAACCCCTGAGCATTGTAGTTGAATTGCTTCCATGCTCTTAATATACGAATATAAGACTTTGATATTAAACACCTGCATGAGCCCACAAAGAAAACCACAGGAGAGGGCAAGGGTCAAGCAGCCTGTGCCCTCAGGCCAGAGGAAGGGCAACCCCTGATTGAGCCTCATGGGGCAGGGCAAATCTGTGTGAGGGAAGTCTCATGCCTGACCACTCCTATGGGTTAGACCAGGAGCAGAGAACAGAGGTGTCTGTCCACAAGGTATTTGCTTTTTCTCTTCTGAAAGTATTTTGTGTTAGAACACATTTCTGTACATATATGGTCTGAATGTATTTCTTTTTCTCCTGATGATAAAAGTAACATAATCTCATTGGAAAAAAAATTCAAAAATATAAGAACTCGAAGATCAAAAATAGAATCACCAGACTAGAGAGATGACTCAGAGGTTAAGAACACTGGCTCTTTTTCCAGAGGACCTGGGTTTGAGTCCCAGCACCCACATGACGACTAATAACCTTCTGTAACTCCAGTTCAAGGGTATCCAACACACTCTTCTGGTATCTGTGGGGCATTACATGCATGTGGAGCACTTACACACATGCAGATAAAACACTCATACACATAAAATAAAAATAATAGTGGGGCTGGAGAGATGGCTCAGCAGTTAAGAGCACTGGCTGTTCCTGAGGAGGACCTGGGCTCGGTTCACAGCACCTATGTGGAGACTAATAACCATTGGTAACTCTAGTTCCAGGGCATCCAATGCCCTTTTCTGATCTCTGCTAACATTGCACAATACAGGTGCACTTACACGCATGCAGGCAATATACTCATGTATAAAATAAAAAAAATAAAATATTTTAAAAATAATAATAAAATTTTTTGGAAAAAAATTAGAATCACTGGCCAGGCATGGTGCACACCTTTAATCCCAGAACTTGGGAGAGAGGCAGGCAGATCTCTGTGAGATCTCGGCCAGCCTGGTCTACCTAGTAAGTTCCAGGTCAGCTTGGGCTACAGGGAGACCCTGTCTCAAAAACACCAAAAAAGAAAATATAGAATCACTGGCAAGACCACCACCTGGCGAAGATTCCTCTGCCTTTGGCTTGTTTTCTTTCATTCCTTTATGTGTCTATAATAAACACATACTCATGACATAATGTATTACATTTGTATCATATTTTGGAACAGTTGCACCATAGTGTGAGCAGTTGTATATCCTGTCTCTTAAACTTTTTGACATTTTCTTATGTGATTAAATATTCTCTGGAGGCATAGATTTTAAATTTACACTAAGTAAGATTTACTCTTTGTGATATATAGTTCTAAGAGCTTTGAAAACTACAGATTTATAACGAGCATCTTGGTCCAGATACAGAGCATTTCCAGCACTTTCTGCAAGCTGCCCCTTTAACTTGGCCTCCCTCAGATCCAGTGCACCCCCCCACTCTCCCTGGAAACCGCTGCTCTCTTCCTGTAGGTAGCCTGGTCTACAGAACAAGTTCCAGGTCAGCTTGAGCTACAGGGAGACCATCTCAAAAAGACCAAAACAAAAAAATAGAATCACTGGCAAGATCACTATCTGGAGATGATCGCTCTGTCTTTTTGTTTTTTCCAGAACACCACATAATTATGCTGCAGTACGTAGCCTCTTGCTCTAGTTTCTTTCCCCTAGCACAGTGCACTAGAGTTCCAGCCATGACGTCACATATATCAATGCTAGTCACCTTTGATAGGTGAACAGTGTTTCCTAGTATAGATGCACCACAGCTGACTTATCCCGTCACCAGTGGGTTGGTAAACATGACTTTTACTTGTTAAACAAATACTCCATCCTGTAGGCACACCAAACCTTAAACAGTTCCAATAAATATATATATTTGACATTTTGAGTTGCTCCCTTATAAGTAATCATTAATTGGACATCTTTATACATAAATCTTTGCATATCATCTATGTAGGTAGATCTTTATATGCTGTACACACATCTGAAGCTATTAACAAGCATGTACTGTGTACTGCTAGAGACACAGGAAAATACAGAAAATGCACAATAGAAATTTTCCCAATATATTTGGTTATATCAGATTATATGGCAATCTAGGTCTCATTGCTTTACATCATCATCAAAGTAAGAAAATAATAACTTTAATTCCGTGGTAGCAAATTCCACCTGCTAAGCAGGACTAGATTAACGTGCTGTTTCTTGAATCTTAAGCACAGGTATGTATTATTGGAATAGCATCTTGGGACACTTTCCCTAGATGTAAGTGTCTTTAGACAGTGGGATCCCTTGGCATCCACAGGATGAGCTGCATTGTTCAAGGGGAGATGCAGGGCTAGATTGTTAGAACAGCACAGTTGAGTTTCTAATTACATTTGAGAACCTGAAGTCAAAATCACTAAGAGAGAAATGACAAGGCTGGTATTCTGTGTTGTGTAAGGAGATGAGCTCGTCCTTTGAGTAGATGCAGCTGCTCTGAAAATAAAGGAAATAGAGAGACTGTCAGTACTGGTGTGTGACACCTACTTCCAAATGCACACGTGCACACAGCAGAAAGCTAAAAGCAGAATAGAAAGCAGTAAAGTGGAAAGTGAAAGTTTCTTACTCTGTTCTCAGAGAGCTGATAATTTGAGTTGTCCTTCCAAGAAAGTGAAATGCACGCATGTACACACACACACACACACACACACACACACACACACGCATGCAGTCTGAGGCTTGCTTCCTTTGCCTAATAAGGTCTCTTGGATAGAGTTCGTGCTGGACTACATGGAGTCAATTCATTTTTCCTTGTGTATGAATTCTTATTGTACGATTGTTCCAGTGTGTTAGCTTAGTTCCGTGTGGATGAACATTACATCGCCAGAGTTTTAACTGCTTAAAGAAACCTGATCTGACATTGAAAACAAAACAAAACAAAACAAAACAACAGAGGAAACCTAACCAATAGGAAATAGCTATCTGACCTTTGGTGTTTTCTTTCTTTCTTTCTTTCTTTCTTTCTTTCTTTCTTTCTTTCTTT